ATGAAAAAAAATAAAACCTTCAATAGACTTGTTGTTTCTAATTGCAATTGCTAACAGTTCAATAGCTACAATGAATAGATAAGGAGATAGGGGGTCTCCTTGTCGAACTCCTCTACCCACTTCAAAATAATCAGTTGAGATACCATGGTTCATGACATAAGCAGTAACATCTTTATAAAACATTTTCACCCAATTTATAAATGATTCACCAAAGTTAAAACTCTTTAAGTTTTAACTCTTCAATAATAAACCTATGGTCGACCGAATCAAATGCCTTGTAAAAATCTAGAGACACTAGAACACCTGACATATCATTTTGTTTAGAGTACCACATAAGAACTGTTCGTATAGCGTTCCCAATATAGCGGCCTTTTACAAATGCACATTGGTCTGGATGAATTATGGAAGGCAAGACATTAAGCATAGCTTTGAAATAGCTTTGGATGCAATGTTAACATCTACATTGATTAAAGATATTGGCCGATAGTTTGAAATATAAGTTTTATCTTTACCTTTTTTGGCAATCAATGTGATGACATCCTGTCTTTGTGACACCCCCAATAGACCTTTATGATATGAATAATTAATACTATTAAGCAAATACCTTCCTATTACTGGCCAAAATGTCTTATAAAAATCAGCAGAAAGACCATCGTTCCCTGGTGTTATTTTGTTAGGCAATGACTGGAGTGCTGAATAACATTCTGTCATTGTTAATTCTCCCTCACACTAAACGGGGAATGTTATCACTTTTAAAAAACAGCTCAGCATTACTGCTTCAGAGATCAGTTGACTTAACAGCATAAAGTTTAGAGTAGAATTCTTTAATACATTTATTAATCTTATATTGGTCACTAATTTCACTACCATCAACATTCAGACGCCTCACTGTTGACCGTGTTTTATTTGTTCTTTCTAAACTTAAAAATATCTATTACTTTTTTCCCCCCATCTCATAATAGTTACACCTGGACCTGATTATTAACCCACGAGTTTCATCCAAAATATTTTCCAACTGTAGTTTCAAATCAGTATAAAGTGCCATATCATTCTCATCATCTAAATTTGATTCCAAATCTTTAATTGATTTCTCCAATTCAAGTAATCTCTTTCGTTTATTTTGGGCTTTACTCTTTGTATAGGAAACTGAAAATCTCATAATCTTATATTTCATGAACTCCCATGTCCCAATGGCATCCCCGTCTAGGGTATCCTGTCCCCAAGTGTTAATATTCTGATTCATTTGATTAACAAAGTCCTGATCGAGACACAAACTATTATTAAACTTCCAGTATGATGTACCGTGTTTATTCCATGGAGTCGTTACTTAAATATAAAAAAAGTGCAGAATGATCAGAGGCAATCAACCGATCTTACATTATCCTGTAGAAAGTCTGAGATAAACCAATAACCCAGACGACTTTGAATGACTGGCGATCTCTGCCGCCAAGTATATCATTTTAAATTGAGATTTTTAACCCTCCATATATCAATCAAATCCAATACTGCTAGCTTTTCATTCACAATATTCAAAATGTTTTTGTTGAATCTTCCTCCTTGTCTATCCAAAAATGGGTTTAAACACAGGTTAAAATCACCCCTCAAAATAACTGCTTTATCGCCCTCGGGATTAAAGTCCTCAATCTTAGAGCAAACTTGATTGAAAAAAGGTACTTTATCAACTGGACAATTGGGTGCATAAATATTACAAAGAATTACGTTAATACCCTGAATTATAACATCCATACAAATTAGCCTACCATTGTTATCTCTAAATGTATCATGAACCATGATATCCAATGATATTTTGATCATAATACCAACCCCCCTACCATGACTGGTTCCATGAGAATAAACAATATTACCCTTCCAATCATTTGCCCATCTCTGCTCAATCTCTTGTTTACTGTACAATTCCTGTAGCATGATAACATCACTACCATTGTTTTAACCAAGTGAATATTTTTTTTCCTTTTCAAATAATTCCTAATGCCCCGTACGTTCAAAGACAGGAGCTTAAAAGAAAAACTATCCATTACTCAACAAAAAACAAATTACACCACCGTACCCAGACAGACCAAAAATAAAAGACCAGTACAACCAGCACCAAAGTGCATGGTGAAAAAGCATGAATGACTTGACGATGATACGTTGGCAGTCGACGTTGAGCAGTGTCCTGTTCGTATGGGAATCATAGCGATGTACACAACGCATGTAAAAAATTGTTTGAAATTTGAACAGTTAATATTATTAGGATACTGCCAAGGTGCGATACTCGGCCCCGATCTTTCTGATACATCTCTGATTATGTGTGAACGCTTTTGGTTTGTTGGCTTGAACCAAGCGTTTGATGGTGACCCGTGAACGTTTGTTATCACCATGGAATCGATGATAGCAATCAGTTATCCGCAATAACAAACTCAAACTCTTATATAAATAGGTACAACCAGAGGCACATTAACTCTGGTATAACGAAATGGGTCTTATATCTGTATCTATTTTCAACGTTGCCGTTGTCACTTGGGTCGATAAATCTGTTAGTATGGCATAGGTGGTACAAATAAATCGCATCAGCTGACGTTACCTTTCTCTGGAATTGTCTCTGAGGTTTGTTATATATGTCCGCAAATACATATTGAATTAATAGTATTAAATAATACTGGTACAACATGTGTCGATTTCGGTTTCAAAACGTTTAAGTTTTTTAAAAGCATATTTTCCTTTTCAATTTATTTTGTAAACAATGCCTACTTTAATGCTTATTTTCCACACACGGAAGGCAAATAATGTTTACAACAGGGCAGGACCCCCAATGTAGTAGGACTTTGTAAACATCATTGGTTGGAACAGCCCAGTCCCCGCAGTGTAGTAAGAAAGCGCAAAATTTAAATTTGATTATAACTGTAGATGAATGGAACTATGGCATTTTTCCCATCAAAGGATCCGTGGATGTGTTTAGGGGCAGTGTATAAGCAAAACTAGTTATCGTCCACTGTAAATGCTGATACAGGTTTATGGGTAGACATACAATATACACAGTTTCCCCTGATAATGCAACTACTGTAGAATACTTTATTTTCGCTTGGAATTTATTTTCGCTATTTTCGCTGAATGGATGATTCCGTGAAAATAAAATCCAGCGAATATACTTTTTTCCTATATTTCACATTAAATTCATCAAAAATTAGTGAAAATAAGTTCCATACAAAACGCCCAAAAAGCTTTTTCAGCGAAAATTAATTCCAGCGAAAATAAAGTATTCCACAGTATAACACAATGAGAAAAATGTGAATCAAATTAATTACATAGAATATTTCTTTTATTGAATTAAATCACATGATCAAATTAATGCTAAATGTCTGAATATAATGTTGAGTACATAGATCCTGAATGACTCAGAAGTTCAATTTCTTGGGGACTTCCCAGGGGAATTCTGGTCTTCCGAAATGTCCATAGCAGCTGGTTTGCTTGAATATTGGTTTTCGAAGATCCAAGGTTCTATGTAATAAACAACAACAATATGTTAATTCCATGTTTCAAGAATTTCTGCATTTGAAGTGGCAGTGCGGTTGTAGCACTTGTTTTGTTGGGAAAAGGTTCTTGATACAGACAATAGGATACAAGGATACAAGGTAGTTTACATAAATATCAACATGCACACATGAGAATCTAACAACTGACCATGGAAATAGGCCTTGTAAACAAATATGCACCTCAAGTCACAGACACACAAAAGTCAGCTCCAAATGGTGTCTTAATGAACATGCCACAACTGTGACTAGATGAACATGCATAAGCCGAAACTATAGCCACAGATGACGACATATATAATAATAAAAGAAAGCTTAGAAAAAACTCCTGTGTGCTAAAGGTATATTAGAGGCATGAATTACAAATACTATTATATTAAACACATCTTCAATACGCAAGTAAACTCATTGAAATATGTCTTATTTTTCCCATAGATTTGTTGTTGTTATTTATATTCACAGTAAGCACATCTGCTTATAATAGAGTAAATACAGTTGTATTTAAGAATATAACTTTAAGCAATAATTAGGGTGGTTCCAAGTACCTACGGTTTAACAATTATAAATATTTAAGAAATAATGACCATATATAATGACTAGAGATTTTGGTCATATATCTTGTCTGACAACACAATTATAGCACTGGTTACATTTTCCATCTACAACAGTACTTATTATATTACAGTTATGCATATTAAGAAACACATATGAAACTAATAACAGGTAATTAATATGCATGGATTTCAACCCTGAAGTAATCGGATCTGCGGATTATTTAAAATCTCCTACATGTACGTACCAAGTTTCATTAAAATTTGATCAGTGGTACTCAAGATATATTTGGAGCACCTATAATTGGTTAATTTATGCAAATTAGGTAATTAGTAAGCATTTATATGGCTTATCCTTAAGCATCTACATGTGTATGTATCAAGTTTTATTGAAATGTTTAATGTTTCTTGAGAAAAAGTAAAAATGCTTCAAATTGGCTAATTAATATGCAAATTAGGGACTTAGTATGCACAGGATTTCAATCAAAATTAATCAGTATTTCATATTATCTCAGAGCATCTATGCAAACAAGTTAAAATGCTTAAATTAAATTTGGGTAATTAATATGCAAGTTAGATAATTAAATATGCACAGCTTTTGACCAAAAACTCATCAGGTCTGAGCATTATTCCAGAGCATCTATGAACCAAGTTTCAATAAAATTTGATAATTGGTTTTTGAGATATCAGAGGAACAGACACACACAGAAACACTAACTGCACAGTTCCCATTGTGTGCTATGCACACAGGTGTCAAAATGCTATTTTAGCAGCAAATATCTTCGTTATCACCCGATGCACCCATGAAAATGATAGTTCACTTTTTACATTACCAGTACAGTAATTCTTAAAAATATGCGCTTTTTTTTATGTTGTGTCATTCAACAAATATGTTTTACAACTATTATTACCACAATAAAATATCAAACAATAATTTGTTAATTTCATCTTTCAAGCACTTCTGCATTTGCTTTCTAACTTGTATACACAGATATTCTAGCAACCTGTCCTGTTGAGATAAATGCTGCAAATCACTTTAATTTCTGGCAAGTGGGCAGTATGTACTATTTTTATTACTGTTGAGTGGGCAGCTGAGTTGAGTCAAAACCGCAATCTCTATAATGCTGTATTAAAACTAATCCACTCTTGTAGCTGCTCTATCAGGTTACTGAATCAGGGGAGTGTTTTTTTGACAAAATATTATTTACTAAAGGTAATCAAAATAGTAAGTCGTTTAAACCACGTTAAAGTCAATAACCTTCAATTATTTGGACGATCTTTTTTCAGATTCAATCGCATCATAGTCAGGCAATTCGTTTCATGTAAATCAGCTAATTAATATGCACAGATTTTCCCCAAATGCAAATAATCAGATCTTGCAATTGGTCAAAACTGAGTGAGATAGATTGCTGAGATAGGAGGAAGGCAAACATGTGTTGGTATTATCATTCATATAACCATTTAACATAGAATGCACTGGTAAATTCCTCAATTTTTTCAGGGATAATCATGTAAATCAGCTAATTAATATGCACAGATTTTCCCCAAATGCAAATAATCAGATCTTGCAATTGGTCAAAACTGAGTGAGATAGATTGCTGAGATAGGAGGAAGGCAAACATGTGTTGGTATTATCATTCATATAACCATTTAACATAGAATGCACTGGTAAATTCCTCAATTTTTTCAGGGATAATTAACCTATTTTTGTGCAAAATTTTTTGGAGAGAATTCTTTTCATCTGGGTTATTATAGTATATCAAAACCACATCACATCACATGGTCAAGCCAGCTATAGTAATCTAATTAATACGCACAAAACTAATCAGGTCTTCACTATTTTGTGAAAAGTATCAACATTTGTAATAATGAGGTTGTGAAAGGTTACGAAAGTTAGCAATTGTGATGAAAGGGTGGGTAATATGCAAATTAGTTAATTATTATGCAGACAGAACATATAATCATTATATGAAAAGTTACACAGTGACAGTGGCAGTGGTGAAAGAGATGGTGATTTGCAAATGACCTAACATGTACATACAGAACACATAATTACTATATGGAAGGTTACAAAAATTAACAATGCAGGTGAGAGGGTCAAATACCTTATCACTGCCCCTGGGCGTAGATCAAAGTTTGACTTGATAATGTTCAATAGTTCCTTCTCAGTACGATTAGACGTTCCAAAGTGGAAGATAGCCATTGATAAGGGCTCTGCTATACCAATGCCATAAGCAACCTGAAAAAACAACATGTATAGATTTAAAACCATGACAACCATTGTCAAATTGTGATAATTCACAGCCCATGTCAACCCATTTCAATTTGTGATAAGTCACAGCCCATGTCAACCCAATTTCAATTTGTGATAACTCACAGCCCATGTCAACCCAATTTCAATTTGTGATAAGTCACAGCCCATGTCAATCCATTTCAATTTCTGATAACTCGCAGCTCATGTCAACCCATTTCAATTTGTGATAAGTAGCATCCCATGTCAACCCATTCCAATTTGTGATAACTCACAGCCCATGTCAACCCATTTCAATTTGTGATAACTCGCATTCCATGTCAACCCATTTCAATTTGTGACTAACCAGGTTAATGTAGATTGATACATTACCCATGGCCGGCATTTGGTCATCTTGAATCAGGTCATATGTTGCCAAGATACGTGTTGCATTTGTGAAGTTTGAATGATGGTTGACCAGCTGTTGTTGATGCACAAGAATTTGCACAAGCTAATTTTACGATATATTTTCTCAAGACTATATCTGATGGCGAAAGAGTTGGAACCTTGGCATTTGGACTCTCTCTGATGACAAAGTTTTTGTTGATCAGCCAATGAAAAGGCCATTTAAATACCGAGCGTGAAGCATCATTCCAAAAGATGTACTAGTAGCCGATAAAAGGTACACTGAAGCTATTCAATTACAACATCGAATATACATTGTCTCGTACAGAAAGTTGCTGTTGTTCAGCCAACGTGAAGACCTTTCAAATATCGCATGTGAAATGTGGTTCCAAAAGCTCTTGTCGCCAGTAAAACAGTCAAAAATGAATACGAACACTGCAAAGTACGACTTTTGAAACTTTTGTAGTGTCCCACGTTATCATAATTTTAAGCTTTCATACTGAATGTTTATTGAAGGCAAGAATTCCATTGTCTTTGTAAAGTTGTATGCGAGAATGTTTATGTTTGAATGGTAATACAAGTCTGTTTGACACATTCCGTTCTTTGTTGCATGTTTTGCTATTACAAGTGATATCCCACACGTAACACGTGTTGTAGAAAGGACCGCACACAACATACCTGGAATAGACAACGTCTACAGAGACCTGCTTTGACCAGCGACTTGGCAACCCATCGTGCAGCGTATGCCCCAGACCTGTCCACTTTGCTGCAGTCTTTACCAGAAAATGCACCACCGCCATGTGCTCCCCAACCACCATAAGTATCTACGATAATCTTTCTTCCAGTCAAACCAGCGTCACTCTACAGGTAAGATAACAAGGCTTGAATTTAACAATTACATGAGTGATTAAAAAAAAAATCCTAAAAATCAAGGCACAAGAATCTTGTAAACGAAGATTTATTCTGCTAATGAAGTTTGTCACTCACAAGAATGGGCAGGGATGATTTGATACTATGAACTACTGAAACTACAATTGCAAATTTGTGAGATTTGCAGTAAGAAACATTAGACAAACATCACAAAATATCGCTACACGTTTGTTTTCATGCATAACGTAAGATCTCGTAGTGATCAGAAAATAGCCTGTTATACTGTACATGTTTATTTAAATTATCCTAACAACCACCGGATAGGTTAGATAAAATAACTGGTACAAGGTTTTGACAAAATTATTTGTTGATATTTTTGTTCCTTCTATCTACACACTGACACTTTCGGGAAAATATTCATGTTTTTCAAAAAAAAAAAAAAAAAAAAAATTATTCAAAGTGATTTTATCCAAATGCAGTTAATTACAAAATAATAAACAAATATTTTGCTGTTGTAAATAAAAAAAATCCTCAAAAATTAAGCTGCATAGTCGCGTGGTAATCTGAGAATTCTAGGGAAGGCTTTCCCCTCCATGTTTTATTTGTATATGCCCCTCTTAAGTTATCTGGAGGGGAACAAACAATTACATTGGGGGCCAGAAGTGTTTGAGTTAGTATTTAGGTTAGGGTCGAAGACCTTCAAGAAGTCATTCTGAATCGAGACAACTTACCCTAGGTCCACCTTGAGTGAACATTTCAGAAGGATTCAGATAATAAACTGTTTCTTCATCAAGGTATTTGGAAGGAATTACTTCCTTCACAACTTTGTCCATTAAATCTTGCTTAATTTGCTCGTTTGATACTTTCTCATCATGCTGAGTAGACATCAAGACATTGTGAACACGCAATGGAACTGTAGCTCCGCCATCCATTTTATATTCTACAGTTACCTAAAGTAAGGATAGAGTGTATATTCGATTGATTCAAAACATAATAATGAGCAGACGTAGACAATTGTCTTTGTGTTGAGTCTCTTTGACAGATGTCAGTTGATGGATATCCAAGAAATACTTCCAGTCATACATACAGGTTAGAATAAATAGAACATGTCCTGCCAAAATTGTGTTTGCCATATATTGCCCATATTATTAAGTATTTTTCTACGATATTTTAGATAATTTTGGACCAAATGTGAAAATTTGGAAAAAAGAAAAAAAATATGCTACTTTTAATTTGTGAAAATGCAAAACATTGGTGCTCAAAACATTATTATTCTCAGTTTATCTGAGAGATCAGAACCTGAGAATGGTAGTTTTTCAAGCTCAACAATTCGCCTTTCTCTTTGAAAATTAGGCTTCCAGTGGCTTGATAGCATTTATATCTGCACTATTAGCAAAATTCATGGTAAGCAATACCATATGTACAGCGTTCTTAAGGTTTAAAACACAATGGAAAACAAGCATGGACACAACAAGGACTGGACTATTTTGTAACTGGCAACAACAAGGATTAATATTTTGTAACAACGAATTCAACACTAAGGGTTGTCTGATGCCCCGGGACAAATAAAATTGCCATTCAAACAACTGATAAGTAACTCACTTGCATAAACAGACTATAACAAATGTATAAATATATATTTCAGACATAACATAAAATCATAGTTTCATATAATAAACACGTGTTTACCTGACACTTTCCATCAGGACGAACCCACGGCATTGTACCATTCTTCCAATTATCGTGCAATTTACGGTTCAGCTGATGTGCCAGCAGGGAGGTGAGAGGCATACATTCCTCAGTCTCGTCAGTGGCATATCCAAACATTAATCCTTGGTCTCCAGCGCCAAGATGATCCAAATCACGGTTTTCATGCACTGCATGTGAAATCTGAGGGTCTTGTTGCTGCAGCGTGGTCATCACATTACATGTCAGGTAATCAAATCCTGCAATTGACACAAAAAGGAAACTCAAACAAACAAACAATCACAACATTATTTACAATTTGTGACATTTTATCAACTTTTTGAAAAAGTTTTTTTTCTGTAACATTATTCAAAGTTGTATTGTATTCAAAGTTGTAATTTTTGAAAAGAAAACTAAGTTTTATACAAGAAGCATCTCAATGGCAGAGGAATGAGTTTCTAATTTTGTAAATGCTTCATTCACAATGAATATTAATTTCATAATATACTGTAGAATACTTTATTTTCGCTTGGAATTTATTTTCGCTATTTTTGCTGAAGGGATGTTTCCGTGAAAATAAAATCCAGCGAATATACTTTTTTCCTATATTTCACATTAAACCTCATAAAAAAAATCAGTGAAAATATATTCCATAAAAAATGCCCAAAAAGCCTTTTCAGCGAAAATAAAGTATTCCACAGTAGTCCATCATCAATCGCCTAACAGAGAATCCCTCGTATGACTGGTGACAACCTAAGATACCTGATCATAACCAAATTCAAAAAACTGCTCAGCAATATTTAGCTACTGGCGATAAAATTTCAGATATGGACATCTTGCAATAACATTGCATTTATTACAGTATATCATTACATAACACTTCAGAGGCGGCCAACAAAAATCGTGAATGCTTACACATTAGGGCATTTGATTTCAGATTTTACAAAAGCTTTATTTCATGAAAAATCATACCTTAGGGTTTTTATGACGATGCTGCATGTATATATAAAAAAAATATTTAAACTTGCTCACAAAAACTCGGTCATCCACATCTTCAAATTCTATTTTAAAGCAGGAGGGTTGTCACCTGCGCACGTGCGGGAATTGAGTCCCAAGCGACGATAACAACACACGCTAAAAATGCAAAACGCTGTTTGTGTGTGTGTCTTATTTTATTATTTTGTGAAATAACAATAAAAAAAAAACGCTCAAACGTAGACGCTTGTTTGTAAACAATGAATTGCTATGGCCACCTGACGCATGCGTAGGCGGCGACTCCCCCGCTTTAATAAATTTCAAACTCTTCATTTTGAGAGATATACATTTCAAAATTATCTTCTGCAGAGAATGCTGGTTTTTTCACGGTACTGTTTTATTGACCATGGTAGTGAACAGTTTAATACCAATCTTACCCATTTCAGAGGATGAATATCCAACTTCTTTGACTACATCTCTCACAATCTGGGCATAGTCAATAACTGCGTGCGATGTAATCTCGCCGCCAACCAATATCATGCCATTACTGGCAAAACATTCTGTGAAGAAATGTATGATTTAGAAAAGCAGTAGTTCTAAGCATTAGGGAGGTTAAAGATGAATTGAAGATTATACGTCAAGTTCAATATACTTTCATTATATGAGTTCATAACATCAGAATACCAAAAATGAAAAAAATGTGTTACCAAATAAGAGAGAAGAGGGTATTAAAAAGTAAGGGAAATACAAATCAAAATTAAACTCTGCAAAACTCCCATTTAAGTATGAAATACTGTAGAATACTTTATTTTCGATTGGAATTTATTTTCGCTATTTTCGCTGAAGGGATGATTTCGTGAAAATAAAATCCAGCGAATATACTTTTTTTTCCTATATTTCACATTAAACTCATAAAAAATCAGTGAAAATAAATTCCATACAAAATGCCCAAATAGCCTTTTCAGCAAAAATTAATTCCAGCGAAAATAAAGTATTCCACAGTATGTAATCATGTTGTTTTATAAAACATATCTAGGAAATAAAAATTCTCAACAGTCACAGAAGAAGCAATGACATTCAAGGTTAGGATCCTCATTCAGCAGATGTTCAGCACCAATATATAGCAAATAATATGCAAATTAACTACTTAATATACACAGACGAATTGAAGATTATAAGTCAAGTTCAACATACTTTCATTATATGAGTTCATAACATCAGAATACCAAAAATGAAAAAAAAATTGGGGTTACCATTTGATTTTTTGGGATACAAATGTCCAAAATTTATGGAAAATGGTTAAAATTGTAATTTTTACACTGGTTTCTAAAAATGTTGCTCAGTGACATGGGATGAAAAAACATAGTACATGTATTATTGTTATGAAATCTAACATAATGAAATCATTTTAAAATAATTTTTGAATAATTTAACGAGTTTCTAGAAGAAACTGGTTTACTATTATCTACAATAAGAGTGATCTTCCAATATACCAGTAGCGTTCTCCATACTATGTCATCATTTAATATTCACAATAATAGATCCCATATTTGAGAATAGTAAGTCCTAACCACATGTGTACACTTTGTATGAATATAATGCTTTATCGGAAACAATAAGAGAAAAGAGGCTATTAAAAAGTAAGGGAATCAATTACGGCATGCAAATTTAGGTACTGCACAAATACTAAGGAATTTGTAGAAAGAATCCTTACTTCATGAATATTCATTGATACTTACCACATGCCACCTTAGCGTTGGGATCCTGTTCAAGATGAGCATCTAAAATGGCATCACTCACACAGTCACAGATTTTATCTAAAAATATAGTAAATGCAAGTAAAAATAACTTTTTACTAGACATGAATTCACAAGCTATAGGTCGTGGCACTGTGACATCATTTGTCTATATTTTTGCCAACCAATTTACGAATGTCTGATATCACTCACACATCAACACAGAAGTGTTATCTGCTGTGACAACATTGCCCCGCAGCTTGTTTTATTAACAGGGACACGTATGTAAATTTAAAAAAAAAAGGAGCAGCAAACAAGGACATTGTATTATCTTGAGTACCGAAGGCCGTTTTTTGCCAAATGAGTCACTGCACATGTTTGGGGCTAATCGCAACAACTCCAAAAGCAACATTCAAATAGAAACCTTCATCAATATCATCATCATATGCATATTCTTATATCACTCAATAAATATATACTACGAGTAAACTATACTATTGGCACATTAACAAATCACTTTTCCTTCAGCTTTATGAACATTTATCAATTTCACTGCAAGCTGAATCTAATCAGTCAATGAGAGCTGTGCGCAGCGATATTATTTCATTCTTTCAATGCTATTCAATATGCCAGCAGAAACCTTTTGCGCGAGTACAGTTGTGACATGTGTGAATATTTATAAAGATAAAGGGAACAGGTTGTTGTGTGTCGTAGTATATGAAATCATACGCAGTTGCCACATATTTCATAAATCTATAATCAATATCTCTTTATATTTTATTATATATAGTTAAACTAAATAAATATAGAAGGCCAAAAGGTCGTATCCAAATAAATCACACTCATGGTTTTCAATAGCGCTGGGTCCATGGCGTTGCCAGAGTGGGCGCTATTTATATTCGCTAATCGGCTGCCACTCAACAGCCGACGACCAAATACATGCAAGTCTTCAAGACCGTGCACATCGATCTAAGGCGGAAATTTTACAAATAAGGGTTTTGTTTGACCTGAAGATGGCGCTGCACAAGATTGTGCACGTTTCAATAGAACGATTGTTATGGCGATTCAATACAATGGTCATTGCTAAAAGCGAACTCACCTGGATGGCCTTCCTTTACCGACTCTGATGAGAACAGAAACGTGTCATCTGAACCGGGTCCACCGTGTCCAGACATGGTTATTGCTTCACTGTGTTGTCAGTTAATGGTCGTACTCACAGTTCTACCAACGAGTTCCCGTATCGAGCGTTTTTGGACCAGTTGACTGGTGTAAACGAAATAGTTGAATTAATGCTAGAACGGGTGTTTAAATCCTATTTATATGCTCCACAAGTTACCCGACGGTTTCATCAGCCAGCTGTGCTCATGTGGACTGCACAGAGTCCCCAAAGAAAAATGGCCGATCTTTGGCGCGGGCTCATTGGTCCAATCAGAGTTATATAATGACGTCGGCGAATGATAAGCATATGCAGTGTCATCTGATAACTGATCGTTTTTTTGAGGGGGGTGCTCGCTGACAAAGTAAACCTATTCTCAACGGATTTTTTTCTGAGTCGATCTCTTTATTGAGTATTCTCTGCAACATTTCTGCCCATGTATACAACTGGAAGAAATTAAATTCCAAATTTACAACACAAACGCGACCTCAAATAAGTGGGCGGAACAAATCATGGTGTAGATTTATGAGAGCGTTTAGTGGGAAATTCGTAAGTTGTAGGTAGTTCCATGTGTAGAACAATCTGAACAATGGTGCACGGTACTGGTGGGTGTCCAGCTAACTTTCCTTGGAAAAAAACTATCTGGCCTCTATGGAATTACAAATATGGAAAACAAAACAATAGCACACCAGAGTAAGCGGATGTGTTTATTCTACAGGTTTGTCGCCGTCTGCCACCCCGATCTACAAACTGTCCAACCCTCATAGAGGCGAGGCACACGTGTTCTCTTGTCAAGTTGATTGATAATATCAGTGTGCTTTATCGCGTCAAAAAAAAAAAACATCGACTATGAACCA